CTGACTGGCTGGGTGTGGAGTGTGTGCCTGTCATGCCCACGTTCAGTAAGTTGAGGCAGGAGGATCCAGAGCTCCAGGCCAGCCTGGGCTACTCCTTTTCAAATGACAGTTATGATCCCTGAGCATCTTCCCTGGGGCTCATTTCTGCATTGTATCCTGACCAGGCTGGTGGTTTCATTCTCGACTCTGCCACTGGAGGGCAGTAAAGCTCAGGCCAAGGAAGAGTCGCTGTGGCTCAGACCCAAGGCAGGCGGGGGAGCTGCCGTAGTTCAGGCTGGCCTCCGTAGGCAGTCCCCAGCCTGTCCTCACACCCTCTGCTTGTGGGTGCCTAGAATCCCAGACTCTTCCTTGGGGTTGGGACTAGCAGAGTCTTCATTAGGGTCTCCTCTTCCTGGCCCTGTATTTACTGTTTCCTGTCTTCATGGGGTGATGGTGGTTGCCAGGGGAGCGTGGGGAATGTGGTTCCCTTCCAAATGCAAATACTCCAGCAGGAGAATCCATCCCAGGAGCTATGGGCTCTCAGGTGTCTCCACCTCTCATGCCAGCACCCTCCTCACCCCTTTTCCTTCACCATCTCCTCTCTACCCAGGAGCACAGGTTAGGACTCAGAGCAATCACTTATTTTTGAGACAGGGTCTTATGTACCCCAGGCTGGCCTCAAACTCGCTGTGTAGACAAGGAAAACCTTGGACTCCTGATCCTCCTGCCCCCACCTCCGGAGTGCAAGATTTCCAGGCATGCACACCACTCTGGGTTTACACAAGTGCTCCACTCGCCGACCAAGCTACATGCTTAGCTGTCTGTTTTTTCTTAATTTTGTTTGCCCAATGGCAAACAAAGGAAGTTTCATTTCTTTGATCGCATACACTCTGTGGTTTGCAAACCTGTCTGGGGTCCCCCAGTCACCCGCACAGAGTCCCTAGCCTCAAGCCGGACCTGGTGTCTGTCTGCCCCCAGGAGAAACTGAAGAAGACCACTGAGGACGCAGATGCTTTTGAGAGCAGATACAAGGAGGTGAGCAAGACCCTGGAGGATCTCAAGAACTCAGTGGAAAAGCTGTTTAAGAAGATTAACTGTGACGCCACGGAGATCTTGGGGAAGTTGGGCGAGACTGGGAAGATAACAGACAGCAACCTTCAGCAGTACTTTGGTGAGCTGAGATGGGCCCCACCCAGCAATTAGGAACTCTTTCCAGCATGTTCTGTGGCCATATACAAGAACTCTTTCTTTGGTTGGTAGTGAGCACAGCCATGGTGCAGCCTGCCTGAGTTCGAATCCTGATTCTTCGCCTATAGCTGTGTGACTTTGGCCACGCTCCTGACCTTCTCTGTGCTCAGCTTCTTTCACCTTTAAAGTGAGGGTAAACTATCTCACTGGGTTATTGGGAGGATTAAATATGGGGTAGTTGGTGATGATTGACTCGGGAGAGCAATTTAGTGAAATTCAATCCCCTTAATGAGAAAAACTAAAACTGGAAGGGAACTTTCTTACACACATACACAAACACTATACATATACATGTACACACACATACGCACACATGGATGTACACATATACACGTGCATGTGCGCACACACAAGGCACCCATACAAACACTATACACACAGACATATGCACACACATGCACAGAGACACAAACACAAACACTCTACACATGTGGGCACTCACATGCAAACAACACACACAGATGTACACGCCTGAGCATGCATGCATACATACATGTACCTATACACATGTATTTATGCATTCATGTACACACACACACACACACACACACACACACACACACACACACACACACGCTTCATACTTGAGCCTCATGTTTTTTCTCTAAGATTAGGAAGGTGAGGATGGATCTCCCATTGAGCTCATTTAGTGCTGAATAGTAATCCTTGCCAAGGCAATAGGACAAGAAAAAAAAGAATAAAAATCCTGATTGGAAGGAAGGAAATGAAGTGCTCAGAGTGGGGCCTGGTATGTAGTGAAAGCTTGCTAACTGCCTTCTGCAATTCCAGGTTTGGCTTCAAGTTCAGGGTAAAGAGGTGGCATGAAAACTCAGATCATAACAGCTTAGCATGAATGGTGCCCTCTATTCTTGAAATTTAAGCCATAGGGCCTGGAGAGATGCTCAGTGATTAAGAGCACCAACTGCTCTTGCAGATGGCCTGAGTTTGAATCCCAGCACCCACGTAAGGTATCCCAGGCAGAAGGAATGGCATAAACAAGGGCCTGAAGGTCAGGCTGGCCTTGCCTTTAATTTACAGTGGAACTCTGGTTTTCTGCCTTCTCATTGTCAACACTAAAGGAACTGGTTTTGGACCATGCTTTCCGAGAAACCGTGATTTCTTGGTGTTTGTATGCCTTAGACCTTCTGTGTGGTCCCATGAGCTGCTCTGCCTAATGAGAGATTCTTGTGCTTCATGAGGCCAGAATTTCTCGCAGCCAGTGGCCAGGAGAGGGTGAACAAGCTCCCATCCCTCCCTCTCTGTTACAACCACGGCCACCCAGGCTGGCAGCCATGACCTTGACCCTGTTGCCTTCCAGCTATCATAGAAAAGAAGACCAATGACCTGCTGATTCTGGAGTCCTTCCGGCGCCTGCAGGATGCAGAGGGACCTGACATTGATGTCCCTCAGGCCTTTGTCAACCCTTTCTGGGGTGGCTCTGCCCTCCTCAAGGTCATGGAGCCTACAAAGGTCATGCCCCCTGTGTTTGGGTCAGAAACCTTCAGTGACAAACTTGAAGAGGGTGAGTTCTTGGTCACTGCCATCCAGGCAGCCACTAGATAGAGTCCCTTAAGGAGTCCGAGTCCCCACAGGGTCTGTGGGCCAAGCCTCAGTTTCCCTCATTACTTCCTTGAGTGACATCATCACACTGTGACCACCTGTTTGAAAACACAGACAGGAATATATACTTAGGGAAACTGAGGGTCAGAGTGGAAGTGGGAACATGTTCACTGCAGTCCCAAGCCAGAAACAAGCAAAGAACCCTACACACACACACACACACACACACACACACACACTCAGTCACACACACACTAATGCACATATTCACACACATATGCTCATAAACATACACTCATATGTACATGCGAAAATACACCTACTTGCACACACTCATGCACACTCACTCACACTCACAAATACTCATTCACACACATACCCATAGACACTCATTTATACACACACTCATATGCACACACAAAACACACATACTCAAACACATATGCATACATGCACTCATACACACATGGAGTCACACACATGTAGGCACACACAGGCTCATACACATATATACACAAATGTGCGCACACACCATTCACTCTTAAGTCAGTTAGAACTTAACCCACCGTGGAGTACTATGGGAGCCACTAAAATGAAATGTTCCTCTGGGTAGTGATAGCTTGGCAATCAAACTGAGGTTGTGCCGTACAGCTTTGCCATTGATATTTTAAACCAGCTAGGTCCTCACTCTTGCTTGGGAATTTCCTGAGGGCACATCTCTGTCTGGAGCTCTTGGAGCTCTTTTCTCCCCATGCCCATCCCAGCATGGTGGAGTGACACTGTTCCTGGGAAGGAAGTGAGCTGGGCATCAACTCCCAGTTGCTCACAGTGCTCTTTCCTGGGTACAGTGGACTACCCCCTGGACCACAGTAGCCTCCGGCAGCTGGTCTTGGAGAACTACCTTCAGAAGGACCGTGGCAAGGATCCACAGGACACCCTGTCAGAGAAGGGGGATGAGCTAAAGCCCAAGAAGAAGGTGGTAGGCTGAGCTGCAAGTGGTTGTGTTCCACACCCAGAGAGAATAAATGTTTTCTTCTGAGCCCCAGGCCTTTACTGGTGCTATGCCGAGGATCTCCGAGGACTGGGAACCAGCTCTGCTGTGGAGTGGGGGCAAGAAGGATGGGGCTCAAAAAAATCCAGGGCCTCAGTGCTTCTGGAAGAATGGGTGTCCCTGAAGGACACTCACAGGACCACAGGTGGGGGGTTCTGATCCCCCAGGACCCACCCTTTGAACCCCAGCTTCCTGCAAGGGGCTCACAGACACCTCATTGATTACAGGGCTGGATCTGACCCTGGGTATGGGGCTGTAAGTTCCTTCTCTCTCAGACATGGCCTTGCTGTGTAACCCAGGCTAGCCCTGGATGTCACCATGCTTGGTCCCAGGGATTCTCTTGAAGTTGGTTTCCCATCTTTTGTTCATCTATGGGGACTCAGCTCTAGGGCTATGTAAAAGCCCAGGTCAGGGGAGCAGGAACTATCACTAGTTTGTTGGTTTATTTGAGACAGGATCTCACTGTGTAGCTCAGTCTAAGTCTGGAACTCACAGAGATTCACCTGCCTCTGCCTCCTAAGTGCTGAGACTAAAGGTGTGAGCCACCACTGCCCATGCTGTGTTGTACCAAGACCCCTTCCCACTCTTGCCCTTTAAGGGCTGAGCTAAGGAAAGGCCACCTTGGGCAGAGAGAGAAGAGTACTGGCCACTCTTGGATGCAGCTGCTCCTGAAGCCCATGGATTTCTGAGCTTTTGGAACCTCATTTTCTTTTCATCTATCTATCTATCTGTCTGTCTGTCTGTCTGTCTGTCTGTCTGTCTGTCTGTCTGTCCATCTATCTATCATCTGTCTGTCTGTCTGTCTGTCTGTCTGTCTGTCTAACTTTTTTGAGACGGGCCATCCTGGAACTTGATCCATAGACCAGGCTGGCCTCAAACTCAGAGATTCACCCACCTCTTCCTCCTAAGTGCTGGGATTAAAGGTGTGTGCCAGGCAAAAGTCATTTCTTTTTCCGAAATGAGATTCCTGCAGCCTTCACACAACCCAAATACTTTGTGAGTTTGGCTATACAGGACCAATGAGCCAACAGCCCCCATGACTAGATCCAAGATTTCCTGTTTATTTGCGCATGGCCTTGGGGTGGTGTGCACCTGCAGGCTGGGGCAGCAGGGGCTGGGCTGGAGAGCAGGGTGTAGGTCACCAGAGACTGTGGCTCAGGGCTCAGTCCTTCTCCTCCCCGTGGGTGATGATATGGACTAAGTTCTTGTAATCTAGATTGCCGGTGACATCTGGGGGAAAGGCTGTGAACATCTGGTCGATCTGAGGGCAAGAATGGTGGGTTACAGAGACAATGAGAGTGGCAAGGGGCAGAGAGGGCCTGGGATCCTGGGAAGGACCCCTGTTCCACGAGCCAGGACCTGTTCCACACCTGTCACCAGGTCTGAGGCAGGAGGGGCACTCTGAAGGTCCAAAAGGTCCACCTCCTGGGCACTCAGCCCAGGCTACTCTCTTGGCACAGCGTCTGTGTCCACATGTTCCTGTGTCTTTACCATCCCTGTCTCTATTCCCCAGGGTGACCCTCAAGGTCCCCTAGACACCCCAGATACCTCCCCCAGGGGAAAATGGAGATCCAGCCACACAGGGAGCCTGGCAGATCAGGCTCAGGTGTGAGAGGACCTGGTGGGGACT